GTTGCACGCTTTGTGGAGCATACACATATCAGGCCATAGCGTGAATCGAAATCACTTGTGTCACTGGTGATTGGAGAAAGCAGAGATACTGGACTCAAACAGCAGAATGAATTGAGCCCACTCAACATATGTGGGAATACTAGGTATTCAAACTCATGACCAGCAAGGTAATAAGCATTCTGGGCCTCTGAACTCTTCTCTGACCTCAGAGGATTTCTTTGGATATGACCCCAGGAACATCCTAACTACTTTGGAACTTGGACTTTGGGTGAATGTATAGACCTTAAATGTAAAAACTGATTATGGGAGACTTAATAGCCAATGAAATTTAGAGACTCTCTCTCTCTCTCTCTATATATATATATATATATTCTCTCTCTCTATATATATATTCTCTATATAAAAATATATATGTATATGTGTATATACTCCATCACTTGTAACTTATAATCACTTATCATCCCGTTGTTTGTTGATATGCTCAAGTGGGCACCAGAAACGTCTCCATTTGACCCTGTCGGGTGGTAATGTAGCCCGGTGGCATCTGCTCAGTCCAGGAACACGAAGAGCATCAAACCATTTGTTCAGGGTTTTGATGAAGAAGTCTGACCATCTCGTAGGTGGGGAGCCAGGTGTTCTTTTGATGTCCCTTGGAATCTAGTCAGTAATGGCTCTAGACCAGCAGTCATCTCCAAATCACATTATGTGTCTGACCCATCTGATTTTCGACACCTTGGCAAATGAGGCAGCGTGCCTGATCTTTGATCATCGACAGAGGTCAGAACTCCAGATTCCTTCTCTCACTTGAGTGAAGCGTGATACTCTTTCAATTCCTCTTTGGGTGATCCAAATTACGTTCTTTTCCTGTTTTCGTAGGGCCCAGGATTTTGAGGCGTATGTTAGTGCAGAAAGAACAGTGGAGTTGAAAGGATGTGCCCGGAGCTGGAGGGTCTTCATCCTCTTAACAGCTTCTTTGATGCTCTTGAAGGTGTTCTACCCTGCTCTCTTCCTCCCGTGCAACTCAGGTGCCAGGTCATTCGTCATGTTGAGTTCTCAGCCTAGGTACACATAACTGTTGCATTCGGAGATATTCGTTTTGTTGAGAGTGAATGGAACATCAGGAACTAGTCCGTTTTTCATAAACATTGTCTTCATGAGATTCAGCTGCAGTACAATCTTTCCACACTCATGCTCGAAGTCAGCCACCATTTGTGCCACTTAGCTAATGTTTAGTGATATTAGAATGATGTCATCAGCAAAGTGGAAGTGGTGTAGATGCCAACCTTCTATCTTCACTCCCACTTCTTCCCATTTCAGTTGTCGCATGACGTTCTGGAGGGTGGCACTGGAGAGTTTTGGTGAAATGGTGTCACCCTGCCGAATGAACTCCTCTCTTTAAATCAATGATCACTTCCTTGTAGAATGGTGAGATCCTGGTGGTGAATCCATAATACAGGTTGTGGAAGAACCTGATGTACTGAGTTTGAATGCTCTGTTTGGCTAGGGCTTTGATGACCGCTTCAGTCTGAACAGAATCAAAGGCCTTTGTTAAATCAATAAACATTAGACAGAGCGGCTTCATGAACTCTCACGAAACCTCAATGAGCTTGGTCACTGTGTGGATATAGTGAATTGTGCTGAATCCTTTTTGGAACCTGGTTTGCTCACATGGTTGTCCTTCATCTACTGGTCTGTCTATTCTATTCAGGAAGACTCAAGTGAACAACTTGTAGATGACGGACAACAGGCAGATCGGGCGATAGTTGCTGATGTTGTGGATGTCTCCCTTCTTGTACAACAGAATGGTCCTGCTGGTTTTCCCTTGGGACAGAACCTTGCATTCAGACGGGTAGCATGTGAAGAGCCGAGCCAGTATATTGACGAGTACTGGCAGCAGATTCTTCAGGTGTTCGGGTCTGACCTTGTCTGGACTGGGGGCTGTATGCTTTTTTTTTTTTACCAATGAAATGGCGTGTCGAATTTTGGAAGGGAGAACGTTGGAAACAACATATCCATTCTGTGGAATTTAGTATGTGGGCAGGTGGACATGGCTATTGAAGAGATCCGAGTAGAAATCATGGATAATCTTCTCCATTGTTCTTCTGGAAGATGTGATAGATCTGTCAGGATATCAAAGGGCAGTCATCTTGGTCTTGTAGTTGGTGAAGGACAAGTGGGTGTTGCGGATACTTTTTGTGGCTTCTGCCACATCAGCCAACACTGCTGCTCTTCTTTCTTTGAGGTCTTCCTTTATCGCTTTTCTACACAGCTTTGTGAACTCGGATATTAGCTTCTGATTACCTGAGGCTCATGCGGAACCACACTGGCGAATGAACTTGGGAGTTTCCAAAGACGGACATCTCTTTGTGGCTTTCCCACTCTCGGCATTTCTCATGCAGTCATGGAGGTGCTGAATCAGTTGATTGCATTCCTTGTCAATGTTGTCAACGACGGCATCTTCCTATGTTGCTACAATAGTGCAGTTGGTGGTTGCTTTGGGAGTTCTCGTCTTAAACTTATCCATGATTTCTACTCGGATCTGTGAAGTAGAATTTTGCATAAAGGAGACAGTGGTCTGATCCCATTTGAATTTTGAGACAACAGCGACATTAGTCAGGCAAAACTGTTGACTGAATATGATGTGGTGAATTTCATTGTGGAAATGTTCACCTGGAGACTCCCATGTCCAACATTTGGATTCGGCCTTCTGGAACTGTGAGTTACCATGGATGGTCTTGTTCGACATGATGAACTCAGCCATTCTCTCACCCTGTATGTTCCATTCTAGGCCATTGGTCCGATGTGGAGTTCTTCAGGTGACCTTTTCAGTCCTATCTTGGCATTAAAATCACCGACAATGATCTTGTAGAAGGTGTGGTCTTCTTTATAGAACTTTTCCAGCTCCATGTAGAACTTCTCAATTTCTTCTTCATCATAGTTGGATATTATATTGGTGTGTAGATGACAAAGATAGAAACTGCTGGCAATGAGCCACATCTATTAAAGCATAATCATCCGATTTGGGTTGTTAGGTATTTGAATGAATTGAATGAATCAATGCTCATGGCCAAGTTCCTGTTGACAGGGACACCGATACCACCGATGCCTCTATTGTTGCATGTTCTGAGGAACAGTTCTTCTCCAGTGTTGAAAATGGTGTGATGTGATTGATGCCTTCTCATCTCAGTCAGACCAATGATGTCGTACTTGATCTTCTGTGCTTGCACCATCAGGTCCTTGATGGATGCTTTTGATGCCAGAATACGTGCGTTGAAATTACAGACAGTCATTTTAGTTCTTCTTCTTTTGGCAGCCTAGTTCAGCCCTGTGATTTTATCAGCCTCTCCTTGTTCATCCTTCTTAACGCTGCTGTATTGGGGACTCTTTCAGGGTCAGGGGAATGAAGTCCATTGTTTTTACTGTTTTTGGCATATCAAATATACCACGGGTAGCTTGCCAGACTCTGCTGTGTGGGTGGGATACTCTTGGTAGCTTGCTGGGTCTCCAAGGGGAATAGAGGCTTTTAGGGTGGCCTCTAGTCACCCTTACAGGTGTTTTCACAGTTCACACCATATTTGAACCCCATTGAATATGGTGCAGTAATTATGGAAAATGGGTAGGAAGTATCTTATGATGTGTCCAGGAAGCGGCCTGGAGCATGGCAGCGGTTGGGTAGTGGAGGCTGACCGATGAGGAATTTATCTGGCACTGGCACAGTGTGTCGTATGGGTGTGACCCCTGGGTCACTGGAGATTTGGGGAAGCAGGCAGATAATTTCTGTTTCTGGGTTCCGTTTAGCCTGGAGTCCAAGGTCACAAAGTTCCGCATTACCTTGTTCTGTGGGACTTCACTCATGTGTGAGGCTCAGCCTGAGCATCTGGAAAGCAGCCTTGAGTGTGGTGGCAGTTGTATTTATATATGAATATATATGTATATATGTGTGTGTATATATATATATATGTTAATGGCAGAGCCTGGTAAGCTACCCACAGCTTATCAATATGCCAAAAACAGTCACAATAATGGTCTCATTCCCCTGACCCTGAAATGGTCTCCAATATGGTAGCGTTGGGAAAGACGTGTGGGAGAGGCGGCTAAAATCTCAGTGCTGAGACAAATGGAGACATTAACTGGTGCCTGCTCGAGTAAATCCATGAACAACAGAATGCCAGTGATACAGTGATATCCTCATGCTGTGGAATATGGGTGATAGCAAACAAAATCCAGTTAATCTGGAAAACTTTTAACTGAAAAATAAAATCAGGTACCAAATGTCATTGATAATATGTTTATGTTTATTTTTATTTTCACGTTTATCTTTTTTGTTTTTTCGATCACACCCAGTGATTCTCGGGGGTTAATCCTGGTTCTATTCTCAGGAATTATTCCTGGTAGTGTTTTTGGGACCATATGGCATAACAGAGATCGAACCCAGATCAGCCATGTGCAAGGCAAGCACCCTACCCACTGTATACCACTCCTTTCCCTGATTCATTTTATATGAGATGTTCAAAGGAGGTGAAATTCATAGAAGCCCAAAGCATATATATCAATGCTGCCAGCATGGAGTACTCTGGAAGATGGGGTAATGGAGAAAAAATGGCTGCTTATGAGATCCTGGATTTTCTTTTAAGGAAGATGAATGTCAGAACTGGTTGGGCATGAGATTGAAAACCATTATGATTATGTAAATACCACTTAATTGTAAAATTTTATTGATTTATTTATTTGGTTTCTGGGCCATATCTAACGGTGCTCAGGGATGATTCCTGGCAGTACTCAGGGGACCCTGTGGGGTGCCAGGGATTCAACCTGGGTCAGCCAGGTGCAAGAGAAATGTCCTACTTGCTGTACAATTTCTCTGGTCCTTAACTGTGTACTTTTAAATGGTTCATTTTATGTTTACGTCAATTTTATTTCAATAAAGTGAAAGACCTACTAAGATAGACAAATTAAGAAACATTTGCAAGAAGATTTAATTATTTAAAATTTAGAGCTAAGCACAAACTCGATCACTGACTCTGCATGATGTTGCAAGAGAGAGGGGACCCAGATGTGCTAAAGGAAGTGCAGTGAAAGAAATGGATTCACTTGGCTTGTACTGAGGTTGTTTATTTTAACCTAGAACAGGATGAAAAATAGAAAAAAGAGTCGAGATTTTTAGGCCAGACAGCAAAACTTGTCACAGTCCAAAAAAAAAAAACCCTGTAAACTCTCTCTCTCTCTCTCTCTCTCTCTCTCTCTCTCTCTCTCTCTCTCTCTCTCTCTCTGTTCTGTTCTGTTTTGTTCTGGTTTTTGAACCACACCGCCACACCCAGTGGTACTCAGACGTACTCCTGACTCTGCTCAGATACCATTCCTGGTGGTGCTCAAGGGACTACACACGTGCAAGGTGTGCGCAAGGTGAGCAGCTTAAACTCTCTCCACTCTGAACTCTGACCTTCAGAATGATTTAAAAAATGATGCAAAATTGTTATGTACCAGAACTCTGGGCTGGAGCGATAACATGCGGGTAGGGCATTTGCCTTGCATGCAACCAACATGATCGACCCGAGTTCGATTCCTCCACCCCTCTCAGAGAGCCCTGCAAACTACTGAGAGTATCTCGCCAGCAAGGCAAAGCCTGGCAAGCTACCCGTGACGTATTCAATTGTCACAATGGAGACGTTACTGGGCCCTCTCGAGCAAATTGATGAACAACAGGAGGACACAGTGACAGTGACCAGAACTCTACAGTTCCACAGTTTCAAAGCTGTTGCTGGGACTGATTTTGACACTGATTTCCATTTTCAGATGATTTATAAGCACCACTTTTTCCTACAAACTCCTTCAAAATCCAATTTAGTGTCTTTTCTGATAAAAAAGTGTCTATAGCTCCAAGAGATCTCTGCCTGTTCAGAGTGAATGACATTTATTGACCTTTGCAGGGCTTTAGCACTTTCTACCTTGGATTCCCATTGTTTGTTTTGCAGACACGGTCTCCTTGAAGACAGAATCACATGGTCGTCCTCTCCGTAGCCTCCCTCACACTGGAGCAGTATGTACTCAGAAAACATCGGTGCTTTTGCTCTCCCTTTGTTCCCCCTCTGAATGCTCCTTGTTGGAGAATTCCACAACAGTCCCTTCTCTTCTACTTAGATGCTGTGTGTTTTTGAAGAGATCTGTCCTTTCCCCATTCCCAGTCCTCGAAACTCAGATCGGGTGCAGTACCTCCCATTTGAATGCCAACTTTGTCAACCCCTGCCGTCAGCATGTTCCAGGTCTAAGTCTTTTCATGGGGGATAAAGATTTGGGTTCATATTAAGCCCATAACTGAGGGTGACTATGTGCTATGGCCTGGGAAGTACACGAAGAAAAGCAAAATAGAGAAGTGGAGAAGGACATCGGGTCTGGAAATTATTTGGAACCAAGGTTCTGCCAGCCTGGAGCCAGACTGGCCCATGGACTTGTCAGGTTCATAAGTCTCTTCTCTCTTTTGCTGATGGTAGTTTGCATTGGCCTTCTGCCACTTGACATTGAGAGGTTCCTGTCAGATTTATTCCTGGTGTTTCTTAACTATGTACAAAACATCCTTCAAGGTTTGGCCAAGATCAGATGCTCCCTGGGAAGCCTTTGCACCACTTTTCATTTTGAAAATTTTATTCATCTTGTTAATTACTCGTTCAGAATAGAAACAGATATATACCAAATAATGAGATTGCTTTGAGTCCAGGGAGTATTATTTCCAGGAAACCTTATATTTAGGTGATTTTTGTATAAATTTATCTTTTTTTAATCCTTATATTAGCCTTGTACTGCCTATTATGCTGCTGGTGAGGAAGCTAAAGATCAGAGAGGATCAGACGTTATAAAATATTTTGATGAAAAAGCTTACAGTTTGACCATTTGGAGCCCAATTTAAACCGCTAGTTCCTTGGCTCTTGCCACGGGGTCTGCTTTGTCCACTTATTTATGACTTTTTTTTGTCCTCTCTATTGGAGTTTAGGTCCGTTTGAAATAGAAATTGTGGTTTGTTTTTCATTATGTTATTATTTTTACCACTTAGCATCAGTTCTTTTTTTTTTCTTTTTGGGTCACACTGGGCGATTCACAGGGGAAACTCTTGGCTTTGCACTCAAAAATTACTCCTGGCGGTGCTCAGGGAACCATATGGGAATTGAACCTGGGTCAGCTGTGTGCAAGGCAAATGCCCTACCCACTGTAATATTGCTCCAGCCTTCTTAGCATCAGTTCTTTTTTTTTTTTTTTGCTTTTTGGGTCACACCTGGCGATACACAGGGGTTACTCCTGGCTCAGCACTCTGGAATTACTCCTGGTGGTGTTCAAGGGACCATATGGGATGCTGGGAATTGAACCTGGGTTGGCCGCATGCAAGGCAAATGCCCTACCCGCTGTGCTATTGCTCCAGCCCTAGCATCAGTTCTTAATGATGATTGGGTACAACAAATATTTTTGTTGGCTTGATAGGTAAATGAGCAAACCATAAGCTGAGAGAATAATTCGTGTTCTCTGAAATCCAAACCTGGAATTTACATCTCTAGTTCCAAAGGGATCAGAGATGCCAGAAAAGCCATTTCTGAAGTTCAGAATTTGCAATACATGCCATTTATTTCTTCTGAAGCCTTACCCACTCATCACTTGGGCATTTGTGGAACCATCAGAACTCAAATCTGTGACAAAAAACCTTCAATAAATGCTGCTTGAACTTCAAGGCTACCCACCTGCAAGGTAATCTATATAAAATTTCTAAAAGCAACCGTTTCAAACATATTTCTAAAGATCCTGGTCTCTCTGTGTTTCAGCTTCCTGTCCACTGCTCTTTCTCTAGCATTGGGTGGTGTTGGAGTGACCATGTGTACCGGGGATCTAACTAAGAAACTGAACTGTAGTTTGAGTTCATTGTGATATGTTTAGGTGGTACACAGTCACTTCTAGAAGTACAGATCATGATCACGACCATCCTGTTATTCATCGATTGCCTTGAGCAGGCCCCAGTAATGTCTCCTTCATCCTAGCCCTGAGATTTTTAAGAAAGTGCCATATTCAGGCTCTTTAGGAGAATGAGACCCATCATTGTTACTGGTATTTGGCATATTGGGTACGCCACGGGAAGTTTGCCAGACTCTGCCATGTGGGCAGGTTACATTCAGTAGCCTGCCAGTTTGTCCAAAGTAGGAATGAGATAATAAGATATCATAATAAGATGTCAGGAGACTGCACTGTTCTCTTCCGGGAGCTGGGTTTTATAGTCTCTGAGTCTTGGCCATTGATGGGATTACACGGTGCCAGGGGGCCAGTTGGTGGGTGTGACCCCCGCCTACTGGAATTCGGAGAATCTGAGTGGAGGATGCTCAGCCCCGATCCGAGTAGGCTGGGAGATCTCAGTCCTGGGACCCGCATGCCTTTGTTTCTCTGCCAGTACCTTCATGTGTGCGGAGAGTGGTCTCAGCATGGTGGTGGCTGGTTCTGGAAGTCTTCGGCTGCCGGAGCCCTGGTCGGGGCGGGGAGAAGAACTCAACCCGCCCCCCTCCAAGGGGCCCCAGCGAGGACAGCCAGGCGCAAGGGGCAGGACTGAGATCTCCCAGCCTACTCAGATCAGGACTGAGCATCCTCCACCCAGATCCTCCAAATTCCAGTAGGCAGGGGTCACACCCACCAACTGGCCCTCTGGCGCCGTGTAATCCCATCAATGGCCAAGACTCAGAGACTATAAAACCCAGCTCCTGGAAGAGAACAGCGCAGAGTCTCCTGCCCCCGCGCCTGGCTGTCCTCGCTGGGGCCCCTTGGTGGGGAGCGGGTTGAGTTCTCCTCCCTGCCCCGACCAGGGCTCTGGCAGCCGAAGACCTCCAGAACCAGCCACCACCATGCTGAGACCACTCTCCACACACATGAAGGTACTGGCGAGGAACAAAGGCATGCAGGTCCCAGGACTGAGATCTCCCTAGAAGTACAGAGTGAATGTTTATTTAGAAATAAACTTGAGAGAGTGTTCCTGCTATGGGAATGGCTTTTAGGAATGGTCCTATGATCCATTGCAGTAGCTGTTCTAGTGGTGTGATGTGAAGATGTGGGGAGGGAATTGTCTGGCACCATGAACGTGTCTTGTAGAACCCAGCACTGCAAGGAAGAAAAATAGTTTGAAATGTTTAGAATCAGAAGCTGGCATAGAAAATGTGTTCAATTATCAGTATCTAGTAGAAAATTTGGTCTAATCTCCTCTCAAAAACACTACTTGATAATGCAATACACAGTTATAAAAACACCATATTTTTTCCCTCTTGTTATGGAAATTGAGAAAAGTACTAAATTGGTAAAGGGCCTTGCAAAGGACCAATGGGAATGAGGATCCCAGATTCTGGAGCTACATTTACTTCATGGTAAATCTGCCACTGAAAATGCTTTGCAAAATTGTTGTATGAAGAGACAGTCAGAGGAGCAGACAGAAAATGTGGGAAAAATATTCTGAAGGTGCATTATTATAAGTGTCAGTATTTTTTACACATTTGGGGACCTTTCTGATATTTTCCATTTAAGAAATTTATGTGTTGTGACTTTTTTTTTTATTCCAAAGATATATTTACTAAGTATTCCCTCCTTCCCCAGACAGAACCGTGAAAGGTCCAGGTCTCACAAAATCTTGATTTGTTCCTGCTGAGAGTCTCAATCAAATGACTTTGCTCATTTTCCTCAACACTCACGAAGTTCATCTCATTGGGTTTCACTTCCTTCTGGAGAAGCATATACTTGTGATGTTCAGTGGAGACCTGGGTATGTCACAGGTTTGTGATTTTTGAGTCCGCAAATTTCGAAGCTCTGAATTCCCTTTGCTTTTGAATTGTGCAGCAGTCACTTCAGGCTCTGTATTATAACCCCTGCTTAGGATCAGGTTAGAGCATCACTGTTTTTTGCCAACGAATATTATACAAGGCAAGGCTTTTTGGCTTAACATAAAATATTGAAATTGTGAACTGCAGCAGAATACCATTAACTACAATTTACGCACAAATAGGCTAAGGCCCAGGGAAAAAATTGCTTTACCCAAGTTCAGAGATAATGAATATCAGAGCTGCAATTACAATTTACCAACTCCCTAACTGTACATGTAATTTGCAGGTTTACAATCCTATACAAA